GTTCCTCTCAATGGACCGGTTCCTCAGCAGAGCTTCAAGCTTTCGGCGCCGTTTCTGATGATTTTTATTCTTCGCCATGTTTTTCCTATGAAGGATGAAAACATGGAGGCATCCAGCAGAATCTGCTGCGTGGACCAAAGATCAATATAATAAAGTTCATATTGATGTTGATAAATGTTTTAAAAATCGTTTAAATGTTTGGTCATTTTTAAATGACCAAACATTTTAGAAACTGGAGTTTTTTGTTAAAGTTGTAGTTACTTTAAAATGAATGAAGAAGCATTAATATGCTGATTTAAAACAAATAAAAAGTTAAAGTCCTCTGAGGCAGAGGAAGCAGAAAGTTTCAGGTTCACTTCAGTCCACAAGTATTCATACCCCAGAAAGACCTGGGCTGGAAAAGTTTGGTTCCCTCTAAACTCTGTATTTGTTTTTACGTTTTATTTAAAAACTGGCATGAAGAAACAATTTAACAGACATTTGGGTTGCAGTAAACAAACCCTGATGTTTCCTCTGGTATTTTTATGATTTCATTGAGGAGCTCAGAGTCGGTATTGTTATCATCACATTAATAATAATCTGATTTTAAAGATAATCTCCTTTTAAAACTGAACGTTTTACCACAGGTGGATGAAATGTTGCCATTAGAGTCTGTATCTGAAAACTGAGCTGAGTTTAACTTCTGTTTACTTCCACCAATATTTTAATATCTGTAAATATCAGTTTTTGTCTTTAAACTTCAGAAACTGCCTGAAGGCTTCAGCCTCAGTTTCCACTGAACAAACCGAGTTTTAATGTTTTATTGCAGACTTATGTTGCTGCAGAAACATCTGCTGTAAATTCACAGTAAACTTTAAAAGTAGTTTGAAAACCTGGAAATAAAAGTTTGCAAAGTGTTGAAGCTGGAAAAGAGGAAGCAGGGAACGGAGGGACGTTTGGGTCGGATCCCGACCGATTCGTCTGTAAAGCTGCTATTCAGAGATTATTTCTCTGAAAGTCTTGACCCGACCCCCGGCGTGACCTCTGAACCGCTGCGGCTCTTCTCTGCTTGTCCAGCTTCGTTAGCGGCCTGCTTTTAACTCGCTTCGTCACTTTTAACTCCAGCTGCCTGTGAAATCCAGCCTGACGTCTCGATCAGATCAGATAATTAAGACCTCCTGGCAGCGCCTCCTGCTGGCAGGAGGGACGTTCTCAGAGAGTTGAAACAGGTTCTCTGTGACTGTGTGGAAACGGATCAGAATCTGATGGCAGTCAGGAGGCGGAGCTCCTCCTCAGAGTCAGGGAGGTCAACGCAGAGCCTGAGGAGTTGATTACTGCTCTGCTCTCTTATCTGCTCTAATGGAAGAAGCGTCTGCTGATTGTTCTGCTAATCAGAGCCGTCCTCTCTGTGATTAGCTCCGTGCTCAGAGAGCGGCGGCGGGAACGGCGGCGGCACCGGCTCGTAATTTCATTACTATTCCGTTCGTCACACTTCCTCTTCCCAGCCTGGAAGAGGAAGTGTGTGAGTCCATCGTCTTCACTGTGTCCCCACACACTCTCTGTTGGACTTTGACTGGACCGTTTCACGCCATTGCTCCAATGTCTGTCTTTTATGGAAGGAGGTTGAAGAAACGACCTGCTGCTCTGGTCAGACCAGACCTTGTGGCAGGGCGATGGCAGCATCATGCTGCGGGGATTCTGGCAGACGGCTGGTGGATCCAAATCACTGATTTAGTTTTTATTTATTTGCGAAAAATGATTAAATATAAATATTGGTCCGTCTGGTTGTCATACCTGAGATGGATACAAGGCCCGGCCCGGTCCGGTCTGGCAGAACTTCTGCCTCCCTGCCCACCTGGACCTTCTTCCTTTGGATTTAAACTCCGGAGAAAACAAACCCACGTCATTTTCTCCCTCTGTGTTTCAGTCGTTCCTCTGACCCGACTCGCTCTGGGTTTTCTGAGCTCTGTGTTCTGGAGTCGGTCCGGTCCAGGATCAGTGAGCAGAACCCGGCCTCTGCTGCTGCGTTTTAACTCGGCGCCCCGCGGTACCGTCCTCCGCTCTGCTCAGGTTCTGTCAGTCAGTCGTTTGGGTTTTATTGTTGTAATGAGAGGCGGGTTGTCCGGGTTCTGTCCCGACCCGGTTTATCACCTCCACCGTCTCTGCTTATTTAATCTGCTGAACAGAATCTTCCTGTTTATTATCTCTCTGGTTTATCGCTCCCTCTTCGTTTTCTGTCTGTCGTCTAATCTTTCTGCCTTCGCTCCTCTTGATCTTTGCTTTTCCGTTTATCGCCTCTCCTCCTTTCACCTCTCCTGTTCGCTGCATTTATCTCTCCGCTCCCTTTATTCCTTTTTTCTCCACTCTTTGTCCTTTTATCCTTCCAGTAATTCCCGTCACCTCTTCACCTCTTTCTCCTAATCTTTGCTCTCCATTCGTCTTCTTTTCTTGGCCGTCTCAGCAGCTTTCATGGTTCCTGACGGCATCCAGCGCATACATCAGCCTCTCTAATTAACTCATAAATCATACTTGGGAAGTTTAAATGAGCGTTGGAGGGCTTTCTGCTCTCGCTTTGAGCCACAAGACAAGCAGATATTTGTGCTGCGTTTAATGCTGCGTCACTCTGAAGGAACTCGTGTTCCTCTTGTTCTCCAGTTATCAGCTTTTCATTGAAGACAAGCCTTTCATATAAAATAACCGTGTTTAGGAACACAAGATGAACAGTTATGATGACATGTATGAAATGTTAATTAGGCCCAAATTTGCATAAACTTTGCAGAAATGTAAGAATCTAACATTTCCAATCTGTGGAGCTAATTTCTTGACATCGATCTGCACAAGTAAGAGCAGCAAAAATAATATTACTGAAGTAAAAATGAAAAGTACAGCGCAGTGAAACTACTGCTATAAGTAAGTAAAAGTATCCAGCACTACAGAGATAATTAGCAGCTTGTTTTTGTTCAGAACCAGAACAGATTAAACTATTTCTAGTTTGACCATCAAACATCCTGAAATGTTCTGACATGCGCTTAGTGTTAGCTCAGAGGCTAACGTTAGCTCAGAGGCTGACGTTAGCTCAGAGGCTGACGTTAGCTCAGAGGCTGACGTTAGCTCAGAGGCTGACGTTAGCTCAGAGGCAGACGTTAGCTCAGAGGCTAACGTTAGGTCAGAGGCTGACGTTAGCTCAGAGGCAGACGTTAGCTCAGAGGCAGACGTTAGCTCAGAGGCTGACGTTAGCTCAGAGGCTGACGTTAGCTCAGAGGCAGACGTTAGCTCAGAGGCTGACGTTAGCTCAGAGGCTGACGTTAGCTCAGAGGCAGACGTTAGCTCAGAGGCTGACGTTAGCTCAGAGGCTAACGTTAGCTCAGAGGCTAACGTTAGCTCAGAGGCTAACGTTAGCTCAGAGGTTAACGTTAGCTCAGAGGCTAACGTCTGCAGAGAACAGACTCCTGCATCGATGCAGAAGTAAAATCAGTTTGTTATTTTTCCTTTAACCTTCAACAATCTGATTTGTGATCTGAAATAATCTGCCTGACGTTCCCTGGCTTTTTACTTAAGATCTTGTTTTTGTAACTTTTCAATAATTTTCTGCATTTCAATCAATCAAATTTTATTTGTTTAGCAACATCTTACGTAATAAAAACACAAAAATCATAGAACAAAAACTGTTTTCGTTATTTTCTTCACTACTTTAAAACTCTCATCCCAACATGTTTGTATAAAATGTGTCCTAAACTCAGAAGGCTTAATCCACCATAATCTGTAATCTGTGGTTCTGTCTCAGAACCGGATCAGTACCGATCCAAGAATCCACCAGAAAACCTCAGAGGTTCAGTGAAATGTCGTTTCCTGCCGGTGCGTGTCTGCTGCCCCCGGGGATTCTGGGTAATTACAGAGGGATTAATAATCCCGCCCCCTGGTGCAGCGAGGCGGCAGGGCGAGGATTTACCTGCAGCTAAACGCTCCATCAGACGCTCAGAAAGGTCATGTGACGCTCAGTGACCTGCTCTGTGCTGCCTGCTGGTCCCCAGTTTGACCCTTGACCTCCGTGCTTCCTCTAACTTGCACATGCAAATAAACAATTTAATAATTTTTTTAATTAAGAAGATTTTATTGCCTAAGATCCTGAAATCCTGCAAATGTGGAAAACATTCTGCTGGTTATTTGGTTCACTGATTATTAATTGGATAATAATCAATAATCAGTAAAAGTTCTTAATTAGAGATTTTTACAGAATTTGAACCTTTTGAGGATAAAACTTGAAAATGTGAACAGATTTACAGAAAAAAAGAATGTTCATTTTAAATGAAAAATGTTTAATCACTGCTCTGATTAAATAATCAGTGTTTTTTCACTAAATGGTCTTTTTTGGGTCTCTAAACTCCAGTTAATGATTAATCAATCACTGAATTAGCTGACAATTATTTCTCTAACGGTTTCCTCTCTGACTCTTTTACTTTCTCTGATCCTGAATCTCAAATTTCCTTCCTAACTTTTCTTTAAACTCTGAAGTTTGTTGGTAAATCTTCTTGTTTTGGCTCAAGCGTGTAAAAGAGTTATTTAATCCCAGGGATTATTTTGAACTGGGTTAAAACCGTGTCTGATGGACATTTTATCTGTCTAACTCGGTTGGTTGAAATGAGTTTTTACAGTGTTTGTTGCAGTGAAATATTGTTTCATGTTTCTTACTGTAGTTGTTTTTTCACACTTTAGTTCATTTGTGAGTATTTTTAGTTTTGATTATGTTGACCTGGATTGTGAAACATTTTATGGGATTAATGTTGAACAATCAGCTGACTGGAGTTCCCTCCCTGCTTTTGCTGCCCATTTTGCAGGTTAGCTTAGCTTAATTGCTTGAGCGGCAAAAAATAACAGTTTCACGTCAGTTTGAAGGTTTAATAAAAAAGGATAAATCTGAATAATTTCAGCAGGTTTTAGTTTTATGAACTCAGTTCAGTTGTTGAAAATGTTCCTCATGTTTTGGTTGTTGACTCTGGTTCTGACCCGTTGTGTCTCCTCAGATGAAAGGATGCTGCAGGGAGCTGAAGACGGACTGAACCCCACCTGAACCCCCCGACCCGTCCCGTCCCGACCCGACCGACCGCCGCCGTCCCATCATGCACCTGCTGTGCCGCGGACGCCTCAAGCTGCTGGTGGCGTCTCTGACCGCCGTCGTCCTGCTCACCTGGCTCTACCTGCTGGCAGGAAACCTGGAGAGTGAGTAGGAGCGGGAAGTGGTTCTGCCGGGTCGGGTTTCTGCCGGCTCAAACCGAGACAAACTACTTAATACTTTTGTTTTTGCAAAAACTATTTCACTGAACCTGATGGCGTTCAGTGAAGATTTAGAACATTTTGTCAGATTAATAAAAAACCTTAATTTCTTCATTTTGATCAAATTATTAGTCACATTTGTGTGTTTTTGGTTCATTCCTGCTTTATTCAGTTCAGTCAAAGGGAACGCCCCTGCTCATTTGTTTTTACAGAACCCTTCTGTAGGTTCTGCCCTACTGGAACCGGTCCAGTTTCTAATCCAGCCCAGCTCAGTTTTTTTTAATCTCGCCACAAAGTTTGATTCTTCAGCTCATTTCTCGTCCTGACGCCCAGCAGAACCAACATGGCCGCCCAGCAGGCAGCATGTTGACTAGAAGCTCCAAAATTCCACAGACAGTAAACGCAGCAGTTGCAGATCACACAGATTACCCATAATGCCACAGGGGAATCTGTGTGTTCAGAGCCAGAATTAAAGATGCACGTCTGCATTTTCTTTACGTCAATATAAAGCAGTAAAATATGATGAAAATGAAAAGTGGAGCAGCAGCTTCACTCCCTGTGGGGAGCAAACTGAATGTGGCGTTCTTCCTCCCTCAGACGGGGGAGTGAACATTCCCATCATGCCTCAGGATCAGGAGGGAGGGAGAGGAAAACGGCAAGTTGTGAAGAAGAGATGGAGGATGATGATGATGAAGGGAAACGATCAATTCAGTCCAAGTCAATAACTTCATTTTAATAATGAATAATATTCGTTATCAAGTCATTGACTTTACAGCAATCAGTCATATTGATCATGCATGAGGCGACAGTGGAGAGGAAGAGCTTCCCTTTAACAGGAAGCTGGATCCATCATCCATTATTCATAAATTCATAATCATTTTTACTTAAAATTTGACAATTTTGTAAAAATGTTTTCAGCATAAAAACTGGATCTTGTGTTCTAGAACAATGAAAGCGATCTTTGGAAGCAGGCTGTGTGTGTGTGTGTGTGTGTGTGTGTGTGTGTGTGTGTGTGTGTGTGTGTGTGTGTGTGTGTGTGTGTGTGTGTGTGTGTGTGTGTGTGTGTGGACGTACTGAGCCGCTGCCAGAGTTAAGTCTCACCAGGAATCAGGAGTTTTACATGTTGCCTGTCGGCCGATGCTGTTTTTACGGGATGTGACTATTACCTGGAACGCAGTGATTAACACCCGGTTCTGAACGCTGCCGTCGGTTATTATGATTATATTCCATATGCGAGAGGAAACGCGGCATCACGCAGAGCGAAACATGTGATTCACTGAGCGGCGATAAGCGGACTGGACAAACAGGAGAGGACGCAACGTTGGCAGATGCTGCACACATTTCCATTTCTGAAGCGCTGCAGTCGGCTCCCAAGAGCAATTTGCATTTCTGTCCTTTTGGCAGAAAAACAGCCTAAGTGAATATAAACTGGCTCCTAACAGACATGCAGTTCAGAATCGTCCTGATTCTGGTTATATTTGAGTTATTCTCCTTGACTAAACTCAGCTTTTAGCAGTTTAAATGTAAGAAAAATGAATCTTCTTCTGCTGAAAGGCAGAAAAATTGTTGTAAAATCAATTAAAACCTATATTTAAGGAACATTTTCCCCAGAAAGCCTTTGGTAGGTAATGTGGAAACTACCTGAAAGGGTAGAGCTTTAAAGCTGCAGTAGGTAACTTTTATTAACATATTTGCTTTTAAAAAACTGTTTTGACAGTATAGTATGAGACAATGTGTGAAAAAATCGATTTCCAAACAAAGCCAGAGGGAGGGACTTAGTGCTGTCAATCACGCTGTGGTTCTCTATCGCTCTGCTGAGTCAACCAAACCCTTAGAGCAACCTGTTCCCCTCCTGGCCTGTGGGGGCGCTAGACCAAGAACCACTGAAGGAAATGACATGAAAACGCAAAAAGAAGACAAATCTCAACTTCTGTCTTCAAGAAGTGCAAAGAAAACTTCTTCTGCTGTTTCTATTCTGTCTTTGCTAAAACGTCCTGTTTCCCCTCTCAGCTCCACATATGTTTGTTTTGGTTGTATTTACCCAGAAAGCCCTGCGCTGTATTCCACTTCCTGCTTTTGGTGTCCGATCTGCAGCAGAGTTCACTTCAACCGAACCAGGACCGAGGTCTGAATCAGTCATTCGCTTCGTTTCCTGTCAGCATTTCGCCGTTAGCTTCGCTAATCCTGGTTGTTTCCTCTCAAGTTTACGAGCTCAATGTTTTTAATCTGAATGGGTTTTAAAACCTGATCAAATCATTCTGGTTTAATGTTCTCAGTCCTGCCGACTCGTCATCTTTAGACCTTCAGACTCTTTTAAACTGTTTGGTTTGGGAAACGATGAGGAAAGTTAGAGACGACTGGTGGAAAAACCCAAACAGGAGAAGAAGACATCAGTCCAGTTCTTTTTAACACCAGTTTGTGTGTCTTTAGGGTAAACTGCAGGTGATCCAGGCTTAAAGTTTTTCCTTCTTAGCAGCACAAAGCCTTCCTCCTGAGGAGGAGGAGGAGGAGGAGGAAGTGCGATGAGCCAATTTTGAAGTGTGAGACTCTGGAGAAGCTTTAGCTCACAGATTCACAGTCTGTTTGTGTCGCAGATGAGAAAACAACAACAATGGCGGCTCTGATGGAGACGTGATGATTGGAGCCCAAAGTTCAGCCTCACGGATTCTGGTTCTGATGTTTGGCTGCAAAATACAAGCAGACAAGAAGAAGCACTTTATGCTTCCCCTCCAGTCTGCTAACAATCAGTTGTTTTCAGTAGAGTTGATAGAAATCCAGTTTTTTAAACATTTTATCAGATCTTAGCGTCGCAGCTAAAGCCGGTTGCTGTGTCGTTCCTCCTAAGATGGCCGCTCCCTCCTCTTGGTGCCCTGCTGCCCGACACGCCCGCCGCACAAGTTCTGGAGCGAGCCGTCTGGAGTCCCGGGTCCGAGAGGTGGAGGAGGAGAACCGGCAGATCAAGCTGCAGCTCAGCCAGTCGCAGGGCGCCGCCCAGCTCTCTGACGGGAACTACGGCAACCAGCAGTGGGGCGCGTCGGCGGACACGGTGCCGGAGGACGGCGACAACACGGCGGAGGAGAAGAGCAACCACACAGACTGCTCCCGATCGCCGCTGGTCCAGAAGTGTGAGGTCAGGAAGCGTTCCTTCACGGTCGCCATGACGAATCTTTCCGATAAATCGTCCCAGGAATTATTGCGACAAGCGATAATATCGTAGTTTTGACTCCATTTTAACTCGTGTGGTTTCTGTCTCTGCAGCTGATCCATGTCGCGTGTGTTTGTGCCGGTCACAACGCCAGCAGGGACGTGGTCACGCTGGTCAAGTCCGTCCTCTTTCACAGGTGAGTCCATAGAACCGAACCGGGCCGGAACCGGGCCAGAACCTCCTCCTTTGTGGCTGGATGGATCCGTGACTAAATGATGGATGTTGGTTTGTGTTCCTTTCTCATTCAGGAGGAATCCTCTCCACTTCCATTTCATCACCGACTCGGTGGCCAGTCGGATCCTCGGCTCCCTCTTCCGGTCCTGGATGGTTCCGTCTGTTCAGATCAGCTTCTACGACGCCGAGGAGCTCAAGGTGAGGCGCCGCATCGAACCGTGTTTTCCTGTTTTACGTCTGGAGCCGGACTCAGGCTCGTTACAGGTTACAGGACACACCGTGTATCGGGCTGGTTGCAATCAGTTTCAGACTTTTGTGCATGAGATTAAAATCTGCTGCTTCTTGTTTTGTGGGTTAGAATCTGGAAAGCTTGGAGATAATGTAAAATAACATAAATGTTTTTAATTTGTCACAAAGAGAAGTTACACTGTAAAAACACAAAAGTATTTTGGTCTAGTTTCTGGTGCAAATGTCTCAGCACATTTGCAATAAGATAAACTAAGAGACATTTCAGCAAGAAACTGGAGCTTAATAATCACTAAATGTTGGCAAATTGTGATTTTTAACATGTGTAAATATCTTGATATCAGTTAAATAATCTGCCAGAGGAGCTGCTATGTTTTCTTTAAGCCTTAAAATAAACTCCTGTGTCTTGCTGATGAGGTACTTCTAAGTTAGTTTAGTCTTAATTCAAACTTTGCAATAAATCAATTAAATCACTTGATAAATTAAGATTTTTTCTCCCTTTCTGCCAAACTGATGATGCCGTCAGTCTGGAGCTTTGGCCTTTTTATGAACAACAGTTTAGTTTATACAAACTTCATAATTGATTTTGTTTATTTTTATTGTTTCTGTATTTTGGACATTTTAAATGTCTTCTAGTTCTAGTTTTAAATACATGAGAGTTTAAAGTTTATTGAATGGCCGTCATCTTTCTCCTGCTGTCCATCACAATAAGCTGTGGTTCAGTTCGTCTCCATGTCACAGATCAGAGTGAGTTGTAACATGCTGTGTTTTTACAGTGTAGCTGTAAAAACTTAAAGCCGTCAGAACGAGGCTGACCAGGAAACACTCGGTTTGATGCTGATGGATGCGGTCTGAGTGGAATAAAGAGGATCAGGCATGAATCGGTGTTTGTGTTTCACGTTCTCCTCCCGCGCCGCCGCCGCGCCCAACAGTCGGCTCTTTGTGCCGTCGCCCTGCCGACCTGCAGCCGCTCCTCACTCTCCATTAAGTGGAGGGAAATGGCGGCGACTGTAAGCCGATTATGTTTGCAGATGATGCACTTACGCAGATCCAATTACTCTGAATTGAGAGAATTAATTAAAGGACACTGTTTGCAGATGGATGTTTAGTGTTTGCCAGAAAACTGCTGAAAGCGTCTTTGTGCGAAGCGACCAATCAGAGCAGAGATGATCTCCTTCTGCATGTCGTTTCAGTCCGAAGTCTCCTGGATCCCCAACAAGCATTACTCAGGTATTTACGGCTTGATGAAGCTGACGCTGACCAAAGCTTTGCCGGCCGACCTGGCCAAGGTCATCGTCCTGGATACGGACATCACCTTCGCCACCGACATCGCCGAGCTGTGGGGCATCTTCAAGAAGTTCACCGGTGAGAGCGGAATAAAACCTGCTCACTTCCTGTTCAGAACGTTTACAATCTGCGTAAAAAGACAGGTGATATGGAGCTCAATTAGTGTCAAAAACTTTACTTATAAATGCATCAACATTCAGATACAAAAACACAAAGTCTTAAAGTCTTTTGGTCTAATTTCTAGTTCATATGTTGATACTCTTGAAATGAGACAAAGTAACTTTTCAGCAGGATATAATCTGATAATATCCAGATTATCCACAGATAATCTGTCAGTGGAAGTTTTTCATCAGTCTTAAGGAATCATTTGCTTAAAACAAATCTAAGCAAATAAAAAGCAAATCTTACTGAAAAGTCACTTTTAAGTTATTTCAAGCGTACGTAAAATATTTACAAACTACAGCAAAATTACTTTGTAAGATTTTTGTTTTTCCAGTGTCAGCAGTTTCTCAAATGTACAATTATAATTATAATGCTGCGTTCAAGGCAGAGGAAAAGCTGGGATATCTGAGCATCACCATATTTCAGCCGATCTGATGTTCAGTTTTTACGTCAGTCTGGTTTACCTTTCAGAAGATCCTCCTGACCTTTGACCTTTAACATGCTAGCTGATCTGGGCTGAAAACGGCTGCTGCTCTGTAACAGAAAATAAAATGTTTACATCCAGGATGTAAACAGTTTCAGAGCCGATCACTTTCTGCTCTCCCTGATTGATCAGCAGCAGCTCATTTTTTCCTTGTTGTTCAGCTGATTACTGGGGATTTGACTAGGCCAGCCTCCATCTCAACATGATTAAGGCGAGAAGTTGACTTGATAAAAATCAACTTCCTGTAAATTTCCTCAGGCTGGTTCTTGAAACAGAAGAGCTGAAGTTTTTCTTCTGTTTCCAGATAAGCAGGTGATCGGTCTGGTGGAGAACCAGAGCGACTGGTACCTGGGCAACCTGTGGAAGAACCACAAGCCCTGGCCGGCGCTGGGGCGGGGCTTCAACACGGGTAGGCAGCGGTTTGGCTTCCTGTATGTTGGGTGACGGTTTCAGCTCCTGGTTTCATTTCCTCATCCTCTGCTGCCGCTGCAGGCGTCATCCTGCTCTACCTGGAGCGGCTCCGCAGAATCAGCTGGGAACAGATGTGGCGCCTGACGGCGGAGCGGGAGCTGATGAGCATGCTCAGTACGTCGCTGGCGGACCAGGTGAGGCGACCTCCGGATCAGAATATTCAGCTGGAACCAGTCTGATGTTTTTATCAGAGCATTATTTTCTCTGTAAAGCAGCAATGACCCAGAACGGCTCTGCTCTGGCAGCAGGAGCGAGTAGCTGACACTGTGTGTGTGTGTGTGTGTGTGTGTGTGTGTGTGTGTGTGTGTGTGTGTGTGTGTGTGTGTGTGTGTGTGTGTATTAATGTGTGTGTGTGTGTGTATTAATGTGTGTGTGTGTGTGTATTAATGTGTGTGTGTGTGTGTGTATTAATGTGTGTGTGTGTGTGTGTGTATTAATGTGTGTGTGTGTGTGTATTAATGTGTGTGTGTGTGTGTGTGTATTAATGTGTGTGTGTGTGTGTGTGTGTATTAATGTGTGTGTGTGTGTGTGTATTAATGTGTGTGTGTGTGTGTATTAATGTGTGTGTGTGTGTGTGTGTATTAATGTGTGTGTGTGTGTGTGTGTATTAATGTGTGTGTGTGTGTGTAGGACATATTCAACGCCTTCATCAAGCAGAACCCGGTCCTGGTGCACCAGCTGCCCTGCTTCTGGAACGTCCAGCTGTCGGATCACACTCGCTCTGAGCAATGCTACACCGAGGTGTCCGACCTCAAGGTACAGAACCGGACCGACTGAAACCGACCCAGACCGAACCGACCCAGACCGAACCGACCCAGACCGAACCGAACCGGTCCTCTGGTTGGACTCAGTGACGCTGTGCAGGAAGAACACACAGTCGGCTGTAATTAACATAAAACATTTAGGATAAAAAACTGTTTGTCATAAAATACATTTGACCAAAACTTCCTATTTTGAACTAAAACTTTGTAGTTTTAATAAAATGCAGTTATTGCATTTTATTCAATTAAATGTTTATCTTCTTATTTAAAAATTAACTCTATTTTCGTTTTTGCATTTTTTTTTAAATTTCTAATATTGGTTAAATTAAAAATCAATCAAACTGCCAATTTTTTTATCAGATTAATCGTCAGAAAACTAAATAGAATAACCAGTTAGTAAAATAATTGTTAGCTGCAGCTTGAGCTGATATTTAGTGTTTCTTTATTCCAGTGTGAGAACCGACCTGTTGCTGTTGTCGCCGTGTTGCAGGTGATCCACTGGAACTCTCCCAAGAAACTGAGAGTGAAGAACAAACATGTGGAGTTTTTCAGGAACCTCTACCTGACCTTCCTGGAGTACGACGGCAACCTGCTGCGGAGGGAGCTGTTCGGCTGCCCGAGCCAGGCCAGCGCGGAGAGCGTCCGGGTACACACACACACACACACACATTAATACACACACACACATATTAATACACACACACACACATATTAATACACACACACACACACACACACACACATTAATACACACACACACACACACACACACACATATTAATACACACACACACACACACATTAATACACACACACATTAATACACACACACACACACACACACATTAATACACACACACATATTAATACACACATTAATACACACACACACACACACACATTAATACACACATTAATACACACACACACACACACATTAATACACACACACACATTAATACACACACACACACACACACATTAATACACACATTAATACACACACACACACATTAATACACACATTAATACACACATTAATACACACACACACACATATTAATACACATATTAATACACACATTAATACACACACACACACATATTAATACACACACACACACATTAATACACACACACACACATTAATACACATATTAATACACACATTAATACACACACACACACACATTAATACACATATTAATACACACATTAATACACACACACACACATATTAATACCACACACACACATTAATACACACACACACATTAATACACACACACATATTAATACACACATTAACACACACACACACACACATATTAATACACACATATTAATACACACATTAATACACACACACACACATTAATACACACACACATATTAATACACACATTAATACACACACACACACACACATATTAATACACACATTAACACACACACACACACATTAATACACACATTAATACACACACACACACATTAATACACACACACACATTAATACACACACACACACATTAACACACACACACACATATTAATACACACATTAATACACACACACACATAAATACAGAAGCTCATCACGTCTCAATAATCCATCCTAACATAAAAACTAATCACCTTTCATTTGTTTGAGCATAAAAACAGCAAAGAGTCTGTTAGAAGCTGTAGTTCCTCTCCTCAGCTGCAGGCGGCGCTGGAGGAGCTGGACGAAGACGATCAGTGCTACGACTTCCGGCGTGAACGGCTGACGGTGCACCGGGTCCACCTGTACTTCCTGCAGTACGACTACACGCCGGCGGAGGACGACACGGACGTCACGCTGGTGGCTCAGCTGTCCATGGACAGGTGGGGGACGGAAAACTCAGATAAAATCATCGCTTTTTGTTTTTGGCATTTTGTCTGCTAAAATTAACCACAGAGGAAAGAACAAGACGGGGCCAGAGCAGAACCCAGAGGAACTCCTTATGTCTCCATGATGAGTCAAACTGAATGGCAGCCATGTTGCGAACATGAATAATAATGTCTCTTATCTGCAGATTATGGAGGGCTAAAAGGGACAAAATTAAATAAACAAATACTTTCAAAATAAAATATTTATTAACATGAAATAACTATATGTCTCATTAAATATTAAAAATAATTTATTTAATGAACAGCTGATTTATTAAATATAACTCCACCTACTTTCGCCCCCAATTGATTTATTTTTGTTTTTGCTGCTGTATGTATTTTATTTGTATTATTATTATTATTTCTTGGTATTTTACTGCACATGTAATTTTTTTACTCAAACTTCATTTTATTTCTTGCTGTCATTGTACTTGTTGTGAAGCTCAGACCTTGTAAATGTTTCATATAAATAACTTTTTACTTGAATAACAAAGTTCACAAATTAACCATCTATGAACTCAGTTATTTATTTATGACTCATTAGTGATGTCTTTATCCATTGAGTTTAGTCCCTTCCAGCCCTCCGTAGTGTTTGCTTCCTGCTGCTCTAAGCTCTTCCTCTTGTGTCCGCCAGGCTGCAGATGCTGGAGGCCATCTGTAAGCACTGGGAGGGCCCCATCAGCCTGGCGCTCTACATGTCCGACGCCGAGGCGCAGCAGTTCCTGCGCTACGCTCAGGCCTCCGAGGTCCTCAAGAACCGCAAGAACGTCGGCTACCACATCGTCTATAAGGAAGGCCAGTTCTACCCGGTCAACCTGGTGAGGAACGTGGCCCTGAAGAACGCCAACACGCCCTACGTCTTCCTGACGGACGTGGACTTCCTGCCGATGTACGGTCTCTACGACTACCTCAGGTGAGACCAGCCGACCTGCAGGTTTGGGTACCAAACATTTCGTTGCTCCTGGTGTCCAGAGAGCAGCCAGTGGTGGGCGACGCTAAATAAAAGGATATGCGTGCTAATGTAAAACATTAGCTTTGCTAATGCTAATGAGCTACATAATATTTAACTGAAAGCTATGCTAAAGTGCTAAACCAACATCATACATATTGGAAGCTAATGCTAACACTCTGAGCTAACTTGGCGTTTAGTGGATGCTAACCTGCTAACAAACATGATATTTAGTGGAAACTTATGCTAATTTGTTACCCGACACTAAAGCTAAACCAACATGGTATTTAGCAGAAGCTAATGCTAAAGTGCTTAACTAGCTGCTAACCAATTGCTACTGCTACATATTTAATGCAATAAAATGCCAGTCAGATTTTTTTCCTCTCACAGTTGACCTTTGACCTCTCCATTCTTTGTCATTAAGAAATCTGCGGAGTGTTAAATTCTCCAGCTGTTTCTCAGCCAAAACGTGTCGTGGAACTGAAACCCGAAGCTCTGAAATGTTTTGGGTCTTTCAGGAAGTCGATCGTCCAGCTGGACGTGGCTCACACCAAGAAGGCTCTGGTGGTGCCGGCCTTCGAGACGCTGCGCTACCGTCTCTCCTTCCCCAAATCCAAAGCCGAGCTCCTCTCCATGCTGGACATGGGGACTCTCTACACCTTCAGGTACCAGAACCAGAACCTTCCAGAGGAGCAGAGCACCAGCTAGCAGCGCCCAGCTAACAGCGCCCAGCTAACAGCGCCCCCTGTCTGCAGGTACCACGTGTGGCCGAAGGGTCACGCTCCCACCAACTATGCTAAGTGGCGAACGGCGACCACGCCCTACAAGGTGGAGTGGGAGTCGGACTTCGAGCCGTACGTGGTGGTGAGGCGGGACTGCCCCGAGTACGACCAGCGCTTCGTGGGCTTCGGCTGGAACAAGGTGTCCCACATCATGGAGCTGGACGCTCAGGTGCGCCACCGCCTGGAACCAAACGGGACTGACCTCAGTAAACAATGGAGTCCAGAGGAAAACGGATCATTATGGACGAGCGCTCACTTTTACTTTTAGCAGGTTTTTCATGTGACAAACATTTTGATGTTCAGTTTAAAGTATTTTTCAAATGGATGTGGGAGAAGTTTTTATTTCTTCTCAAACAAAAGTTTTGCTAAACCAACAGAAGCTAATGCTAAAGCGCTAAACGACCACAATAATTAGCCAAAGCTAATGCTAATGCTAAATCACTAAAGCACATGGTGAGATTAGATGAAATGTTGACTTCCGGCTACTGATTCTTGTTTCCTCTGTTTACATCATAATTTCATGCATTGTGTAGTGAAAGCTAAGCCCAGTGGAACTGGGACAGAAATGTTGGAACGATAAATCAGGTTTCCCAGAATCCTGCAGGTAAACATCCTGAGCTTTGACTCCTGTTTTTTGCTGCAGGAGTTCGACCTCATGGTCCTTCCCAACGCCTTCATGATCCACATGCCGCACGCTCCCAGCTTCGACATCTCCAAGTTTCGCTCCAGCTCCAGCTACCGCAACTGTCTGAACACGCTGAAGGACGAGTTCCACCAGGATCTGTCCAGGAAGTACGGCGCCGCCGCCCTCAAGTACCTGACGGCCCAGAGGAACATGTGAGCTCCAGACGCAGCGCTGAGGCCCGGGACGCGGCGGCCCGGAGCGCCGGGCGGCGCCTCTGCTGGAACCGTGAAGCTCTACGGCCCCTCGGAGAGCGGCGGCGGCGAAGGCCCGGAAAACAGGAACCATAACGGTTTTCACTTTGTTCTGACAATCAGGGCTTTTCCCACTGGGAACCAGTCCGGACCCGGTGCTCCGGGTCGGGGGAAACCAGTCGAACTGGAGAACGATTCAAGCCTTATCAACTTCACGACATTTACAAAGATATTTAATAACTTGTTTTTTTTTTAAGGCATAAATCTGAACCAATGATAGCAAAACATTTGCATTTACAGAATTTTGATTACGGCTTTATATTCCTGGACGGGTTTAAGGGAAAAGAACCCGACGGTTTCCGGATCAGAACACGTTTCCGATGGTGCTTTAATTGTGTGCGCGATCCGGCGCCGCGGCGACGCCACTCGGAGTCACGCCTGCTTCGTCCTGCATGTAAAGCGCTGCACCAGGTTCTCATCTCATCGCTCGGGTTTCACAGCAGCAAAGAAGTTCTGACCGGACCGACCGGGACCAACAGGAAGCTGGACTTTACGTCTGAGTCACTGGATGTCTGCGCCGCCTGCTGACCGCTTTCACTCGTCATCCAGCTGGAATGAACTCATTCTTCCTGCTGCTGCCGCAAAACTCTTCAGATTCTGTGTTTTTTAGACCCAAACACTGAAAAACCAAAACCTGACAGAGTAACTGGGCGGGTTTCTGGTCCAAATGTCCCGGGACGCGTCAGCAGAGGCTGCTTTCAATAAAAAAGTTTCATGAACAAGTTTTTGTTGCAGTGGCAAATAAATTAGTTTAAAATGGAACAAGATGGCCGCCGTGGGCGTGATGACATCACTGAACGATGGAAACCCAAGGACGGCATTGTGGGAAAAAAATTATAAAAAATCAAATCCAGTTAAAGCCCAGTCCTGAATTCAGTTAAGGTCAGAGGTCATGATTCAACAAGGACAGAGAGACTGGTCAAAGATGGCCGCCGCGGGAGGGATCAGAACCGGCGCTGACCCGGCTCAGATCCCCTGATGCTCTCCACGGTGGTGGCAGTATAATGCTCTGGGATAATAGTCACCAACGTTTTAGCTCCTCTGATTGGCTAAAAAGAATATAAAAAAAAACATTTTATGAAAGTTAATGAAATGTTTCTGAAAACATTCATTTTGTCTTTGATCCGAAACTTTAAACCAAAACAGAAAATAAATGGAAACGTTGAGGTCCCACCTGATCGCCTGGCGACAAAGTAGAAACCATTCCAATCCATAATCTATAATCAATCACAATCGAAGGAGCAAAAAATGAAGGAGCAGCAGGAAAAACATCTTAATTCCAGCTGGATTTCCTGTTTTCATTTCAGTTTTTATCAAAGTTTCAGATTTTCTCCTCTGGACTTTGGTTTATTTTATTTTTTTTTATTTAATTTCTATTTTTTAATCTTTGTCCCGTTTTGAACTCTGTGTTTTCACGCCGCCGCCATGTTGAGGGAAGTGACGGCGCTGCGTCGCCCCGGCGGAGGAAACGTCCCGGTACCAAACGTCGGCCGCCATGGAGGCGTGGCGGCTCCGCCCACGCCGCCTCCGCCCTCTTGTTGTTGATTGTGGTAAATGCTAGTGCCTTTTGCTGTATTGTGAAACTGGATATTGATTGTACAGTCGTACGGACGGCGCGGCCTGGGACCGACAGGCTCTATTTATTATTGTTGACTGAAATCAATCATATTTTTCTATGTAAGTGCTTTAAATAAATTTGCCCTTTTCTAAATACTCCGCCTGCTGCGCGTTTTGTCCTCAGGAAAAACTCATGTTACTCCTGGATTGGCCTGTGAAATCATCCCTGCTCCTCGCTGTGCGGCCTGGATGTCGGGATCCAGCGGTTCTGTTTATTGGAGCCCCGGCGGCCCGGAGCCCCGGGCGGGCCGGGCGGCTCGGGCGGCTCGTCCATGTGTGTAATTGGTCCAGGAAGAAAGTTTTAATAGAAACGACATTGTTTTGGAGGAATGGGTCCCCTGGCTCCTCCTGCTGTTTAAATGCAAATCACTGAGAAATAATTGGAGGAAGAGTTTCTGAGCTTCAGTCACACAGGAAACAGAAACAGGAAGAAATTCTGCAGATGAATCAGTCAAATCAGTAATTATAGGGAGAAACGAGCTTCTCGGTAATCTACCGGCTCTGTGTGTTTTATTTCTGTTTTTTCTGCAATATTTGGTTGATCAATTTCTGTAATTAATTATAATAACACAGTTTGCATCAAAGAGAATTTTATTTTCTGGAGGTGGAAGAAAAATTGGTTTTCAAACCTTTTCATGTTGAACAAACATTCAAAATCTGACGGATCAAAACATTAATATCAGGAAATATTTTTCTATTTTCAGCAAACAAATAATTCAGCACTAAGCTAAGCATTGATCACTTCTGTACGGTGGCCCAGAAGGTCAGCTAGCCACGACAAAGCTATGCTAAAATGGACGTGATGGAAGCTAAAGCTAATGTTGCTAGCACAGCAGCATCGCTAGTGGTTCCTGCTGCAGTTGCTTTGCATCTCATTGTCCCTTCTGGGCCACCGTACATTTGAAATGACAGCTCCCATCTGTTCTTCCAGATTGATTCATATTTTCCTGTTTGAGGCGTTTAATGTTTGTTGTTCCCTTTTCTTCTGGACGTTGTGCAGAACGACGTCCTGCAAGGATTTTTGATCTTTTGACCATTGTCATGACGCGTAACCATCACAACAAATGTTGTAATGACTGAGAGTTGCTGATTAGCTCAAGTGATGCCTGAACTTTGACCCCAGATCTCAGATGTTACTGCAGAACGTCGATTCAGTCAGAGGTTCTTCAGATCTGTTGCAGCACTGACTGGAGGAGCTGCAGGGTTCTTCAGGGTTCTTACTTGGACTATATGAGTTTCCACATCAGATTTCCCTTTGGGATAATTAAAGTATTTCAATTATTGATATTTATCTACTAAAATAAAAGCCCTGTTTCCATTGAACCTTTTTCTCTAACTCCAGCCGTCCAGGTCTGACAGAGATCATCGTTCATGTTTTATTATTTCCTGTAGATTCAGGAGATTCGGGACCGACTGGCGGTTCCTCTCCGGAGGTCCAGAGCAGCGCGTCCCGCCTCCAGATCCGGGTTCACAGCAGGAGGTCGTCAGTCCGATGGAAACGCAGAGAAACATTATTTATCTGTTTCATTAGCAGAATGAATCTGGTGGGACAGTTCAGACACTAATTGAGAAAACGTCGTTAAAAATTCAGAGCTAATTATTTTCGTGCCTGGAGTGTTTTTCTGTCAGAATGAAGAGCTGCATGTTGGTCAGTGATCTGTTTCTGTCCCTGGTGTGAGACTTTGTGTTTTCTCATGGAATAATGATCAATCTGGCAGATTTATCATTTCAGAAGCTTTTGTTGGCTTGCAGAGACTGTGGTGAGATTAATAGAGCCATTTGTTTTCTGCTGATTAAAAACAAGATTTCTATTCTTTTGGTGCAACTGCTTTGTCCTGACTGGAATTCAAATCTTGAAGGATCCTGGTTGGATCCAACCGTTAGCTGTGCACATTAGCATGGATGGTGACCGTTAGCTGTGCACGTTAGCGTGGATGGTGACCGTTAGCTGTGCACGTTAGCATGGATGGTGACCGTTAGCTGTACACGTTAGCATGGATGGTGACCATTAGCTGTGCGCGTTAGCGTGGATGGTGACCGTTAGCTGTGCACGTTAGCATGGATGGTGACCGTTAGCTGTGCACGTTAGCGTGGATGGTGACCGTTAGCTGTGCACGTTAGCATGGATGGTGATGGTTAGCTGTGCGCGTTAGCGTGGATGGTGACCGTTAGCTGTGCACGTTAGCATGGATGGTGACCGTTAGCTGTGCACGTTAGCATAGATGGTGACCGTTAGCTGTGCGCGTTAGCGTGGATGGTGACCGTTAGCTGTGCGCGTTAGCGTGGATGGTGACCGTTAGCTGTGCGCGTTAGCGTGGATGGTGACCGTTAGCTGTGCGCGTTAGCGTGGATGGTGACCGTTAGCTGTGCGCGTTAGCATGGATGGTGACGGTTAGCTGTGCGCGTTAGCGTGGATGGTGACCGTTAGCTGTGCGCGTTAGCATGGATGTTGACGGTTAGCTGTGCGCGTTAGCGTGGATGGTGACCGTTAGCTGTGCGCGTTAGCGTGGATGGTGACCGTTAGCTGTGCGCGTTAGCGTGGATGGTGACCGTTAGCTGTGCGCGTTAGCGTGGATGGTGACCGTTAGCTGTGCGCGTTAGCGTGGATGGTGACCGTTAGCTGTGCGCGTTAGCGTGGATGGTGACCGTTAGCTGTGCGCGTTAGCGTGGATGGTGATGGTTAGCTGTGCGCGTTAGCATGGATGGTGACCGTTAGCTATGCGCGTTAGAGTGGATGGTGACCGTTAGCTGTGCGCGTTAGCGTGGTTGCTGTGATGGGCGGGCGATCTGCCCAGGTGGATGGATGTTTAGGTTTCAGCTGGTTAATCAGGCTGCTGGGCCCGGCGCTGGTTCAGTCTCTCTCAGACCTGCAGAAACAAAACATGGATCATAAAACTGCAATCTCATTCCAGACATCCATCTCTGCGGCGGGAGCCGTGCTTAATGAGGGTGAAGGGGCGAGCACACATTTACACGATGGATTCATTAGAGACACGCGCTGCAACATTTGCTAAATGAAGCCCAAGCGGCGCGGCGTCGGCGCTCTGAAATATGGATGTGTGTCCAAAACAACGTGACCTCAGGTCTCCAATTACTGACCAGCTTCTCATCTGGAGCAGCAGCACAAACACCTGCCCTCAACATCTGCTCACAGCCGAGCACTGCGCTGCAAATTCACAGCTTCCTCCTGATCAGAGCTCAGAAACTGGGCAGGAGAAATCCGGATTTTATCACCGTTTGGGGAGAAAACTGCTGCTTACTGCTGCAAACGATGACCGACAGCTCATCAAATCCAGAATAAACATGAAGCTTTTCATGTTGAGGACACTCCGAGTGTCCTCAACATGAAAAGCTTCATGTTGAGGACAGAGTGAAAAGCAGGCGACTGACAGCGAAGCAGCTCATCTGAAGAAGCTCCAGCAAAAGCATCTAATATTTGCACAGCTGCATTTGACACAGTTGACATGTTAAAATCTTACAGAGGCTTGAACCAGATGAGCTTTAGACCTGTTTCAATGGACAGACATCACTTCATTCATGCTAACATTCATGCTAACATTCATGCTAACAAGTCTTCCTCGTCCTCCAGCGTTAGCTAAGGCTGCGGCTCCCAAAGGTTTTCTTTCCTCTATAGATTACAATACAATAAAATACAAAAGTTTTGTTTTATGCTGATGATCCTCCAATGTATTTAGATGGTTGACGGTTTTGTTTCTCATTCTGTCAGAACAAAGTACATTTCGTTTCACAATCAAAGATGGCGTCCAGGACTTAACAAACCAGCTGGGGACACAAACGAGTTTTACTTTCACAGCCTCTAATCCCGTCTCCTGCGTTTTATCTCGGATTAAGGTCCAGCAGGGAGAGATGTTTTCACCGACTTAATCTCAGCGAATGGGATTTCCCTCGGGGTGTTTCTACATCCTCCTCTACTTCCTGCCTTTGTTTACTCCATATTTTAGTCTTTGTTTCCAAAAGAAAAGCTTTTTTCACCAGAAAACCCAAAACATGAGCGACTGCAACATCAACACAACCTGCAGCCATTGATAAGGAGAAACCACTGAAAAAGGAGATTTATTTTACTGCTGAGACTCTAATGATGGCTTCATTTGAAGGTTAATGACTCAAAATGCTGTTTTGTTTATTATTTTTAGTGTCACAGATAAGCTGCGATTAGCTGAATGTGAGATTCAGAGACGTCTGGAGTCGCGTTGAGATTAAGCCGTCTGGCAGAAACGAGCCGTTTAACCCTGTAATCACAGAAAATCTGGTTATGTGAGGATGAGAAGGGAGACGTGATCGTGTTTTCTGGCTGGGAGCGCAGTCTGAAGCGCAGTCTGAAGCGCAGTCTGAAGCGCCGCAGCGTCTGTGGGCTGCAGATCGTGTGGCTGCAGACGCAGCTGGCAGATTCTTTGTTCTGCAGCTGAATCTTGTTTTTCACAGTCAGAGATTCAGGATGTGACAATAAATGTGTGGTCAGGAGTTTCAAACTTTACTCCTTTAAAGGCGTAAGGTGTTCTTGTCAGATGGGATTAAGTTAAATAATGAAAACTTGTTTTAATTATTCATTGAAACAAAACATAATTGTGGTTTTTCTGGCTCAAACTCCAGTCCGTTTGTTTAGAAAGTCCGGTTCAGCTGGTGAGGTGTGAATGCTAATCGAGTTCTGGTCTCAGGAAGTGAACCAGAACTCGGGAGCCGCCCAGCGAGTTCTGGGCGACAACAACCCAAACAGACATGTTAGCTTAGCGCTAGCAGGAGAAATGGCTCCTGGTCGTTAGCCAAAGACAAATGAGAAATCTTACGACCGCCAAAGTCTGACGCCTCCATCTTTGTTTTCATTTGGTGAAACAGGAAGTTGCTCTCAGCCTTTCAGAGGTTGTAGTGTTGTTTCCTTCAGTGGTTCTTGGTGCAGTGCCCCCACAGGCCAGGAGGGGAACAGGTTGCTCAGTCAAACCGAGTCTGTCGGACCAAAAAGTGGGAAAACATCTGAAAGCATTGACGAACAATTAGTCTGATGATCTGAAGCATTTTAATTTATGAATAAGGAGAAATTTATGTCTAATGATGGAGCTTTTAAAAAC